TGGGGCCGGTTTGGGGCCCCATCCCGGCAGCGCTGCCCCTCATCCCGGCTGGACGGCGGCTCCGCGGGCTGTCTGTCACCCGGCGGGATTATGAGTAGTGAGCGTAATGCATCGGCGTATGAATAGGGTTGTCTGGCTGATGGTGATGTATCGTTTTTCATTACTGCCTCTCAAGCCCTCCCTGCTCCACGTGTGGAAATTCTATTTATTCCCTAATTTGTAAAAATTCCCTCCTTATCTGATACCAATCAGGGAGGGGTAATTGGCTCTCCAGGGCTAGCGGCTGGGGTCCTGATGAAGAGATATGTGTGTCTGCTCCGGCTGTCCAGGCACCCTGCCCTGCTGCACCAGCGACACGGGCCACAATTAATAATGATTTGCAAATGGCAGACAAGCAATAACGCAGAAAGATGTCCAGCCAGCCTCCTGCCCGCCCCTTAATTTCCTTCTGTAATATAAATGGCACGGGAACAAAAATCCAGCGCTATAAATTCTGGAATTAGTTATTCACCGTAATAAATGGGCGCCTTTTTGGAGCGTGGACCTCCCCCCCCCCCCCCATCTTCCTCCTCTTCCTCCTCCCCCTCGCCAGCACCTACTTCATTTGAGTCCTAATATGCAAATGCCGTAATTTAACGGGATGGTGAAGTTGATTTTCATGTTAACTTAATTACTTTGATTTATGGCGGGCTGAGATGCAGACACCGCCGCATCATTACGGATCTCCCACCTCTCCCCTCGGCGGTCCCGCTGACCCGCTCCCTTGTCCCCGTTCTTCCCACCCCATCCCTTTCCCCTCTCCTTCCCTCCTCTCTTGCCACAAGTTGGGTGTTTTATTAGCTGCCTTTAAGTGGACATAAGTCCTCGCGACAATCGTGTGATGGGGAGGACAAATTCCCCGTCCTGCCTTGTTTAATCGTGCCTGGATAATGGATGTATAATTGACTCATTTGAATGCTTTTGCCTACAGGAGTGCAGAGCATTAAATGTTTGATTGCCTTAATTTCCAAACAGATCATTATCCCCTTCTTACCCGCTCTTAATAAACACTTTATGAGGATTTTTTTTGTAAAGGAAAAAAAATCTCCACTCCTCGTACTTCTCTGAAGTGATAAACTCTAATTAAGTCTAATATTTAAAAATATGGTAATGGCGACTTGTTTGAATAAGTGGCCTGCATTTCCATAATTTCATTATTACGTAAAACACGCTAATTATTTGAAGTGTGCTTATTACTAAAAGAGAAATCTCCTCCTAATAAAGATGAAATTGGCTTTTTCCCTGTATCGCTCAGCCCTCCCAGGGCTGCTCACATGTTTTGTCTGGGGACGTTCATGGGGACACAGGGCAAGTGGAGGTCCTTGGCCACGTCAGAACTGGGATGTCCCCATCCCCTGCTCATCCCCTGTGTTGCAATGGGGCACGGGAGGTGAGGGACCCGGCAGCCGCAGGGTGCCTGTGGTGTGGGTGGGATTTGGGACGGGGAAGGGCACCCCATTCCCTAGCACAGGGATTGCAACAGGTAGGGGACGGATGGAGCGAGGACCAATTGTCTCCAAATCCTGAGTGGCTCTCCGGCGGGACAGCCAGGGAAGGCAGTGGGATGAAGTCAATATAAAGCTCATTTCCTTTTCTTCGTGAAGAAATGAGGTGTGTGGCAGTAACGTAATTGCAGATAATGAGGTAAGTTATTCTTAATATTCTGCACGTCGCTGTCAGCTCCTCGTAACACCTGCTGGCAGCTGGGGCACGCCGACCCCGCACCGTGCAGGGTGATGGTACCCCAACATGTCCTTGTCACCACTGCGGCCGTCTGTCCCCACACGTCCTGCCCTTACCCAGAGCTGGGCTGTGACGCTTGCCAAGGTCACCCTGAGGTGGGACCCGTGTCCTGCTGATCCCAGAGCTGGGCAGTGTCTGGTCCCTCTAGGGCCACGGGGACCGTGTGGCTGCCAGGTCACGGGGCCACCGGCTGTCACCAGGGGTCGGCAGCGGGGAGGCGGTGGCCACGCGTCCCTGTTCCCACTTTGCAGGGAGCTGTTGTACAAAGGGAGCGGCGATATTATTCATTAACAGTAATCTGCCATTAGAACATTGACAAATGGCCCCTGGTCGCCTGAGCATCAGTTCTCGTACAGACCATAAAGCATGGGGACAGCTTAAATATGGACCTGCTCAGCTTGGGCCGGGGGGTGATCCGTCTTCCAGCCACGGCACGGTTGTGCGGGGCTCGCTCCTGATGGTGACATGGAGATGGGCCACAGTGCTCCCTGTACCCAGCGGTGCTAAGCAGTGGCAATCCCAGCCAGGACATGGGGATGGGGACAGTGCAGAGCTATTGGGATGAGCTTGGCCCCGGCCATCCCATGCCCACAGTGGGTGACAGCAAGACGTGACACGGCACAGTGTGGGACGGCACGGCGCAGCCGCGCTCCGTTTGCTGGGTAACCCCAGGCTGACCCCTTCCTACACGGCGCGCAACACCCCTAAATCAATTGCATCTTATTATTACAATATCAATATACAATATTCCTACAATAACACCATTGATTTTCTACTCAGAGGCTGCACCTAAGTCTGTTTTAAAGAGGAGGGAGTTAATAGTGCCCTCATTAAAAATCTATAGATTACCCCCCACCCCCCAAAAAGAAAAAGCAGTTTATATTCATTAGGGCTATTGAATATAAAGTAATATGTTTGTGTAGGACATTGGAGTAATGTGATAATCCGTCCGCATATCAGGGAGAAATCCACTTAGCAACCCTGTCAGCTTGACAAGAAAAATGTGCCCATAAAGTCGGGAATACATGGAGGGAGCCGGGGCGCAGGAGGCTGCGCAGAGCAGGGACAGTGGTGCGGGGCTGCCTTCCCCAGTGCTGGGCATGGGGACATGTGGGCACCCCAGTGCCATGGAAGTGGCAGTGGGCATGGGGATGTGGGTAGGTGCCCCAGGGCCGTGGACGGGGCAGTGGGAATGGAGAGCAGGCTCTGGGGCCCGTGTGTTGTCACACTGGGACACGGAGTGAGCGGTGCTGTGCGGGCACTGCAGGGGCTCTGGGTCCTGTGGTGGCTGTGTGCCTCCCCAGGGGGCAGCTGGACAACGGGGCTGCCCCTGTCCCCAGCCCCACACCTACCCCCTTGTCCCTCCCCAGCCCCGCCCCCTGTGGTCACCTTTGCGATGGATTAAGCACTGAAAGAGCAGCAAAGCAATCCCGTCCGCGCTCTTTTAGGTTGTCAATTGCCATTTTTGTAATAGAAATTCCTTCCACAAGGTAACGACGGCCAGATTTAGAGGATTTCATATTGCTAATAATTCCCCAAACAGCCATCTGACTGTGTTGTTTTAAAAGCCGCTTAGTTTTTTGCTTTGGAGTTTATGAAAATCTCCCACTCTAATATCCCGAGAGCCAGCCTATAATTGTGTTATTAAATCAATCGGAGCGGATTACATTGTAAAATCAATAGATGGCTGTAATTGCATATTAGAAAGTTGTTCTGCTGTTGTTGATTTTTTTTGTACATGGATAATTATAATAAGCATGTTTACCTTCGCACTGATTTGGATTGAGGCTCCCGAAATGACTCATGGTGTTGGTGGCCGTGCCTTTGGGGCTGCCACCCCGCAGGGAGCGCAGGGGGGGAGGGAGCCACCATGTCCCTGTGCTGTCCCACCAGGTAAAGGATGGAGGGACTGGGAACACGGGGACACAGAAAGGGGGATGCTGTGAGCAAACCTTGTCCCTGAGCTATGGGATGGTGAGATCCTCCAAGCAGTGCCCTGCATCTCCAAGATGCCCGGTGGCCGTGACAGGGACACGTGCAGCTAATGAGGATGCCGCATCTTCCACCCATGGGTTGGGATGCCAGTGTCAGGAGCATCCTTAGCAACTCCAGGGCCGTGGAACAGAGGTGCCCCCAGCCCATGGCCATGCCAGGTGACAGCGGTCCTGCCACCAGCACAGCAGGGTGGCACAGTAACACCAGTCCGGCTGACGGCACCTGGCAGTGGCACGGCACGGCCACGCGGGGCCTCAATGCGGCACGAGGCACTGTCAGCAGGCAGCCTGCTGTCTCCTAGACAGTGAAATATGGCCACAATTAGCCCGGATACAGTTCAATTATGATAAACAGCGTTTGCACCCTTTAAGCCGTGATTAAAAGGCCTCCTCCCGTTGATAGAGAGACCTAATTTCACATTATTATCGCTGTAGCTTGATTATAAAGCACTCCCTGGATTTACAGTTGGGAGATGGATGTGGAGGCTTCTTTATCATTTACACATCAGTAATGATGCAGCCTTCCCTCCGCCACAACATCCATCCGGCGGCGGCGGGGAGAGGGGGGCTCAGCCCGCGCCCCCTCCCCGGGCACCGCTCCCTGCGCCGGCCGGGCCCCGCTGCCACACGCAAGTGGGCAAAGTCACCCTTACGGTAACAGCTTGATAAATGGGCGCGCGGTAATGAAATGGAGACATCAAGGCGTGGGGCGAGGAAGAAAGAGTGGTAATCGGAACGAGTGGAGCTGTCCCGAAACGGAGGGGAGCGGGAAGAAGGATCGCCTCTGTGCCGTGTGCTGTCAAGGGAGAAATTACACATTTACTCTTGCTTTTTCTTAAGGAGACGGCCCTCATAGATCAAAACATGGATTTACAAGCCAATTTTCAACATGAAATATAGACACCAGGAATCAATTTAAGCCCGGCTTCTATTTTAGCAAACGGTGCCTGCGTTTAGTCCCAGGTAAATAACGGCAGCGCCCGCCCCCTCCCCACGCTCCGGCCGTCCGCCGGCACCACGGCTGCGTGGCACCGGGGCAGCCTGAGGCCACGATGGGGACGGCTCTGAGCGGGGCAGCCCCTTTCCTGGTGCGGTCACGGGGCAGTGCGGGCGCTGGGCTCGCAGGGCGATGGCTGGGAGCTGGAGCCCAGCCGGGGACGCAGCCCAGGCGATGTCGCTGCACCAGACCCTCTCTAACCCGGTGCCTCTGTGCTCTCTCCGCAGATGACTGTAAGAACATCGCCAACATCATGAAGACACTGGCCCATAGAGGCTTCATCTTCAAGCAGACCTCCAAACCCTTTTGATCCCCAGGGCAGGCCAGGCAGGGCTGCATGCGCCCGGCGCCGGCGAGGCGGGGAGGACGGGCTCTAGCATTCAAACGGCAACCGAGGCCAGAGGAACCGACACAAATCTCAATTCAGCTGTTACTCCAGTAGAGGTTGTATATATGGGAAGGCAAATCTGTGTAGACCTGATGTGACTCCCTCTCTGGGCTGCTCCGGACATTATGCCATGCTAGCGGACAGCCGCGTAGGGCGCTTGCACCACATTTTAGACTCGTAGTTTGTTCTTTTCTTTGGCTCCCGATTTCCGTCCCTCCCTCCGCGCCCCACCCTCTCCCCGTCCTCCCTCTCCCACCCCGTAGCCACCACGTCCCCGGCATGGGCCGTCCCCGCCTTCCCTTTCTTTTCGCTGGTTTTATGTTTTCAGGCCTTGACGGCTGCTGCAGCGCGTGCCCGCGCCGCGCTCATAGAGACTCAGCAGTGTCGAGACGGCCCCCGCCCTCCCCGCCAGCCCCAGCCTCTCCCCGAGCGCCTTTTTCCCCTCTTTTTGAATCGACACTAACCCCTCTCTGACTCCTGTATGTGACAAACGCAATCCGTCTCTTTATGTTCAAGGTGAAGTGCCTGTATTCTCCGCTGCAGAGCCCCTGGCAGCCCCGGTGCGGGCTGCGGGGCCCCGGAGGGCTCCCTTCAGTGGGGCAGGGGCCCGGCGGGCGGGTAGGCGGGCAGCAGGAGGGAGGTGACAGCGTGCAGAGCCCCCGTCCCGTCCCGTCCCCGTCCCGTCTGCTCGTGCCTCTCGGGGATGGGTGGGATGCCCAGCCCTGCCCCAGCACCACCGACCCGTCCCAGCTCCGCCGGGGCCAGGTGTGCCGCAGCACCGCGTCCATTGCCGGCGGTGGACGTGCCAGCGCGCGCTGGCCCCGACCCACAGGTACCTGGAGCAGGGGATCTGTAAATCGGCCCAGGTCCCCCGGCCCGCTCCCCTCCCGCTCCCCCGGTTCCCATGCTGAGGCTCAGCCCCCGCGTGCCCGCGGTCCCCCCACTCCCCGTGCCCCTCGCGGGTCCCCGCGGATGCTCAGCAGCAGCTGGCTTGTTGCCTGAGAGAGTTGCCGAGCGCATCCCCTCTGGCTGGGTGGGTTCGCAGTCGGGGGCAGCCACGGGGCAGGCTGAGGGCGCGCAACCCCAGTGTCACCCAGTGTCACCCAGCCCCGGGGCCCTGCTGAATGGAGCCCTCATCCGGGTGCTGACCTGCAGGGAGGCTGCAGCCCCGGGCCCGTGCGTGCATGGCCTGGAGCGAAGCCGGTGACGGCAGCCAGAAGGGCAATACAGGCACTGAACTTGGCGGTACATGACTGCATGGTGTGTGGTGTTCCAGTTAAACCAACCGATAATGCAAACCCAGCATTTTCATTGTCTAGTTATTCCAATCCTTGCTGTAAATGTGCCACATGAATAAAGTTTGGGGGTAAAGGAGCCCAGGCTGTGCCCATGCATGTGTGAGTGTATGCGGGATGGATGGGCTGGGACGGGGTGTGCTGGGTGAGACATGGCAGCAGGACAGCCACTGCCCTCCCTGGGGGTACAGCATCCAGCACACCCTTTATGGGTGCCATATGCAAAAGCAGGCTTTGGGGCTGTGGATGGGAGCACTGCCCCACTCTCCAGCACAACCACCACGAGGTGTCCATCCCTCTCTGGTGTTTGAGGGCCTGGACAAGCTGTCCGTGTGCTGTGTGCCCCTACACGGATCAGCCCCAAGGATGCCACCATCCCATCCCAACCGAGCTGTGCCCCAGCAACGCCCAGAGCAGGGTGATGCCATCACCAAGCTACCACCAGCATCTGTCACCTCCCCTGTCTTGCAGCCTGGCTTGCATCAACTTGAGCCCCAGGCATCAATCAGGGCCGTTGTGAGCACACTGCACTGAGCCACCAGCTGTGCAGCACTGTGACACAGAGTCACACTGCTGGCAGGGCACTTGGCAGCACTGGGGACAGCACTGCATCCTGGTCCCTGCTGGGACCTGCCAAGCAGCTGGAAGAAAGTGGGCAGCTCCAGGAGGGAAGGGGCAGCCCCAACCCAAGCAAAGGTCACGGGGGCTTTAATGGCTCCCTCTGTGCAGCCCCCGATCAGCTTTATTGAGCTATTTTCGATGGAGTCGTCTAATTAGTTTTCTATGAAAACTAAGAACTTGGCCTTTGCCCTTTACTCCTGCAGGCGAGAATGTGACTCAGAGGACGTTGTCACGGCAGATCAATGGCCAGTTACACTTGAAAGGCAGCACAGAGGGGGTGAGAGGGTGGACACCCTGCTCTGCACAGGGGGAGCACATGGCTGGGGCCAACTGCACCTGCAGTGCCTGAGCCCCGGTCACCACTACTGGTGCTAGCAATGCCAGCACATCCAGGATGCTGTAAAACACGGGGTTACCAAGGCAGCTGGGTTCACAGCCAGCCTCACTTAGAGTGGGGAAAGTTTTAGGGCTGACTCCAGGCACACAAGGTAAGATGGAGCCATCTGCACCACACCGGGATGGGATCCCAGCTGACCCACCCCCTCTACTAGCAGGCAGAGGGTGGCCCTGCCACCAAGCCCCCCAGGACGTGCCAGGCACCCCTGCTCTCCTCCTGCAGGTCCCCGTGCTGTGAGCAGCACGAGGTGGGAGGCCCTATGGCCCCACTGCGTGCCGGGCAGACGGCAAACAGAGGGTGGAATTTGCACGGCTACAAGTTAAATACAGCGCACACACAGGGTTGGTCAGAGCCCCTGGCACGGCTGCCTTCGCGGGATCCGCTTAACGGGGAAATAAAAGGGCCTGAGAACCCACGCAGCAGTGTGAACAGATGCCCTATAAAAACCAAATACGTGGTAATCAAGGGGACCAAAAGGTACATTTAAAAACAAAAACCCACCCTGGAAACAAAGGAGCCAGGCTTTGTGGCTTTCCTGGGAGGGCTGCGGAATTAATGGGGAAGAGCACATGTGTTTGATAATCTTTATATGGCAAAAGACCCATCTTTCAAATATGTCACAAATTCATATTAATCACCTTCCTATTGCCTTCTGTGGCGCAGCTATTCCAGTCGCCTTGGGCAAAATTGGGAACTGTCTGGTTAAAAAAAATGTTTTACATTATAATTTACAAGAGCCTACAAGTCTAGTTTCTTTTAATGGAAAGAGCGATTAAACAACAAAAAAAAGAGTGGAATATATATACACCCTGGTATATATACACTATATATATATATATATTAAAATATATATATATATATATAAAAGACAGATATTGTAACTCCATCTGGAAAGAGAGAATGTTTGATCTTAACAATGTAACTTCTAGCTTTCAAACAGGCTCAGAAAACAAGAAGTCAGCAGGAGTTCAGATAAAGGAAGCTTAAAAGTCAAATAATTCTGACTCTGAACCCGAGACTTCTTAGACTCAAGGTCTTTTCCTTTACCCATTAATGGGCTGACTTGTGAGCTCGGGAACAAAGTGCTGCAATGTGAGGATTTCTGAGAGTCACTCATTACAGATCACTGAGTGGAGTCTGAGTTGCGGAAATCAAAGGATCCAATCTGGAGTAACTGGCTGAACTTCTGCTTGGAACTAATTTGTTCCGAGTTCGGCTCACCTTTCACCTCCCGAAGGCCCCGAGCACAGTCCCTACTGGGGTCAGCACCAGGGGGATCCCAGCTCGGCTTTAATGGTCAGCGCCGGCACCGCAGCCCCTGGGAGGGGGGATGGCAGCCGTGGAAGGGATGAGGTGGCCATGGCCAGGCAGCACCGTGCAGGGCTTCCTGCTGGCCCCAGCTACTGGGACACCGCTCCTAAGGGGACAAAGTGCCAACAGCACTGCCGCGAGGGAGGGATGGGGCAGCTACTGACAGCCTGGATCTCAGGACTCTGGTGTGCCCTCACCCAGCCCTGCCAACACCTGAAAAGGAATTGAGGCTTGTAGAGCATGATAGGGGAGATGGGGCTTGCTGTCCTGTTCCTTGCTTTGCCACTCACTGCCTCCAACATCTGGAGCAAGATACTTCTCTCTGGGGAACCAAAGCTGGCTTCAGGGGAGCAGCTGGCTCAGAACTGAACTAATCCATGCTTAATCCAACACATGGAGTGCCGTGGATGCGCAGCACAAAGGGATTCTCTAACTTGGAGGAATCTATAAGCAGGGAGATTATGCGACTCTCCCCGAGGCAGCTCAGTGGCAAAGCACAGGCTGGACCTCAGCGCCAGGTTGGCATAGCCAGCTTAAACCCCTGCAGCAGCCCTGGCAAAGGGCAGGGCATCACCAACAAACACCCAGGGCCAGGGCTGCAGGAGGGAGGCAGCATCATGCTGCTGAGCAGGCAGGCTGGGAATGCCCTGACACAACACCTGCTCAACAAACAGCTGTCTGCTTGCACTACTGGCATTGCTAACCCAGCACTGTAGCGGGACACACCAGCACGCATCCTGCCAGCATCCTGCCAACTCACAGCAGGTTGTGGGCCATGGGCTGCTGGTCCCCTATACTGCCTGAGCACCCAGAACTGCAGGGAAGGTAGAGGGAAGCATGGTGCCTGAACCTGTCTGTGACACCCCAAACATACGTAAGCCAAGCAGAGGGTGGCACAGCGGTCCCGTTCCCCTCCTCATCCAGATACCCCTCCAGCTGGGAGGTAATTTTTTCCCCCCTCTAAAGGTAGCATAAAATGGTCACAGTGTGAATGTGCTTGACCTTTTGTCTTGGACTAATCTAATTGTGTCGTCTTTGTGTAATCAGCCGGTAAAGGTCAGTGCTGTATTTAACATGGAGGCCCTTTAGGTACTGAATTTGCCTTGCAGTGAATTAACTTGATTATATTTCTTTCAAATATGTCAGAGACGAGGTCAGTTTAACCCTCTCTGTGCTGCCCGGGCCCACCTCTTTGTTTCCATCTCCAAGAGGTGGGGCTGAGGAAGAATGTGGTCAGAAACACGCTTGGGCTCCCTCTCCTGCAGCCACGGCTGCTGCCACCACCACCTTCCCATCAAGCGGTCTCGAGGGAAGGCAGTGTGATGTGAACCAGCGCCGAGCATTCACCAACTGGGATATTCTGGACCGCATCGAAGGGTGAGACTGAATGCAGTGAAAGAAAGATGCAAAAGACTTCTTTGCAAACATGAACCTGTCTCGGTGGAACACTTCCTTATGACTCCATGTTGTCACAACTGAACAGGACATTACTCAAGTCCAGATTAATGCGTCACCTCTGCTGTTGACAGATAAGGTGTTCCGAATATCCTGAAATAATACATTATACATTTTAGAAAATAAAGGTCTGTGACGCTAGCAGGGGCAGTATATCTGAGGCGTCAGGGATGCCACTGCGTGGAGACAGGCAGCTTTTTATCAGACAGTTCAGCTCAGCTGTTCCAGGGGAGCGCACAGAGGGGAAAGCAGCCTTGCCTGACCTCTAAGCACACCACTGCCTCTGGGCTGAGAGCGAGGGGCCGGGCAACTTGCCCTCATGGAGTTAGGAGGAGAGGGCTGCTGATTTACAACCTGCAGATGGACATGCACTGGGTGCTGTTGCAGGGCTCGTGGCAAAGCTTCAGTGGCTTCTAGAACTCCGAGGTCTGGCTTTTCTTCCTCAGCACTGGAAGCAGAGTATGGAAACACTGCTCAGCTCTTCAAATAGCTCTCTCCTTCCCAAGTCTTCTGCCCCAGGCAGGACACCACTCGACTCCAGGGACTTGGGCAGGTCATGGCTCATTGTATCAAGACCGCTTTTCCCGCTTGCTTCCCTCTGCTCAGCAGCCCTTATGTGGCTTGGAGGAAAATGCCTCAGGCCTGCAGCTGTACTGGCATCACTGCCGCTGCCCTGGTGCAAGCTCTCGTCAGGCAAAGCTTCACTGCTTTGGTCCACGATGGCACCCACATCAAGCCATCTGCCTGCATGCAGGATGAAGAAAGACCTGCTGACCCCACCTATAGCACCAAGAACACTGTCCAGCACAGGAGACAAGCCCAGAGAGCACTGGGACTTGGGGGAAAAGGCGTGCTGTGCTCTCTTGGACGCGCACGCCTGGAGGGAGAGCAGGGCAGCATCCCCAGTGCTCGTCACGGCATCTGCGTCGGAGACCTGAGTGCTCCCTGTTCTGCCCCCACAACCTTCCTTCTCACCGAGTTGGGGGTCAGTGGTGCTCCTACTACGTCAATGATCTGGTCCTTGGCATCCCCCTTGCCCTCCTCGATGCCGAGCCCTGTCTGGCCATCTGGATGGGTGCCTTCCACACTGAGGGGGCCGATACTACCAGCTTTGGCCAGGGCCTCATAGCGATGCCGTAACATCTGCAGCTCGTATTCACAGTTGGCAAAGGCTTGCTTCAGCTCATACAGTAGTACCAGGTCGCTCCGCAGCTCGTTGAACATCTGCACAATCTCCTCAGTGGGCATAGGGTTGAGATCTAGGGAGAAAAAGGAGCCCTATTAAACATCCAGAGCTGCAATCCTATGTCTGAAGATCCCTACAGAGGTCCCGTTCCAATGGCAGACCTCCACTGCCCTACACCATTCTGCTGCAGCCAGTCACACACATGGCTCATCACATCAAGATCTCTAGGAACAGCTACATGTTCTGGAAAAGGATGAAGCTCTGCTTTTTGCCCTGTTATTTGCCCAGTTGCAGCATGAGGCCTGCTGTCTGGCCACATGACCCCACCCTGCTAGCACTGTGCTCACCCACACAAAGCCCAGGTGCTTTTCTGTACTCCAATGCACAACATGGCTAGAGCTCCAGAAAGCCCTTGAAATGCATATACTTTGTAAAGCGGGAGTGGGAGGGCAGAAACCCCCTCCTTGCCCTCATGGAAAGTGAGCTCTAAGAGGCACTCAGATCCAGAGCCCCAAGGCTCAGCTGGCACTCTCAGCTCTCAGCCTCAATTCTACCATTCTACTAAATGCTTATATACTGCAATTAATCTCCTTCCATCTATCTCTCCTTTATTGTCATTCAGAAAATATACCTATTTTTTCCCTGGACTGCTCCTAAAAGGGAAGGAGAAAAAAAAAAAAAAAAAAAAACCCAGTGACTCTTCAGTTTTAAAGCAGAAAAGTGAAATCAGCCAGGTTGAGTTGCTTTTATCAGCTGCAGGAGGCTTTCAAAACTGCACACAGTCTCTGAGGCAACATATCAAGCCAAGGACCCATTGGCCCAAAAAAACTAACAAAAGTTCAAAGAAGTCAGGGCTGGGAGCAGGCTCAGTAAGCTTTTGTAAATCACTGATAAGGATTTTTATTTTTCATTCCCCCAGACACAGCAGGGGGGAAAAGGAAAAAGGAGCCATCAGGTATCCAACCAAAGGGCACCGCGTGCTGGGACCTGTAGGACCTGTAGGCCCTGTACCTGCAGCATGGAGGGCAGCAGCTGCACTGCTTCCCCTCCAGCTACGTGCAGGCACTGTACATGGGAAGTGAACCCTTCTTTCTGCTGCTAAGACACTAGAGTTCAAGAGTGAGAGCTGTGTGTTTACTCGCCTTTCAGCAGAGATGCTCCAGATTTTCACACAGCACGCCACCTATAAAGGGGGGATGAAAAGTCCCAGACGCATTTTGGACTTGCCACCATGAGCAGTAAATTAAGAGGAAACGAAGCTTGAAAGCGAGACAGGGCAGCCCTGAACAATGTGTGTGCCATGGTCACTAACGCACTCAGAAGTACCTCTCCCGGCAAGGCTGAGATTTGCCTTCCTAATACTGTGCTGCCTCTCTTGATAGTTAAAAAGACCCAAACAAGAGAGAAACAAAGGGTCTTTTAAAACATTTTTCTACTGGGAGGAAAAAAAAAAAAAAAAGCCCTGTGCATCTTGTTCTGGCTTTTACCCTCTTTCTCTTTTTTTTTTAAACACATAAAATATTTTAAAAACCATTCACATACTGTTATTCAAGAAACTGGCTGTATTACTAGGGGAAAAAATAGCCCATCTCAAGAACAAAGGCTAGCTCTGTGTGTCTCTTTCTCTCTCGCGTGCCCCCTTTACTCACCTACTCCGAGTTCCATCAGCATCTGCTCCAGGGCTTTAATCTTCTTCTGTCCCACCGAGCTTGGCAGTTTCATCTGGAACACAAAGGTAACAGAGCCACACAGCTCAGAGATAGCCCTCACTCACAGCCGTCTAGTTCAAAAGGCAAGAGAGCTTTTCTTTTTATAGTGCAGGGGGAACAAAAAAAGAAAGGGAAAGAAAGGAAAATCAAGTGGTAAGAGAAGGAGACAGGGGCTGAAAGTTTTCAGACTAGGTCCGAGGGCAGGTATTGAAAAGCCCGGTCGCGAAGGCTTTTATTTTCTCTCTCGTGTGTGTGCAAGACACGCTGTTTTACAGTTTCCATGTGTCACTGAATTAACAACAAAAGTTCTTCTTGGCTTCAAACCCTCTCCCGCGGTGCCCAGCCCATCAAAGGGCTCATTTACACAGTGGCTAATGTGCAACGCTGCCCTACTTTATTCGCTTTAGCCGGCCTGATTAGACTCATGCGCTAACAGACTCACTTCTCCTTTTACCTGCTGAGCCCCAGACCTGTGGGATTCATTTACAGAGCGGGCTTTATAACAAAGGGGAGAGACAGAGAGAGCACAGTTACTTGACTGGCGGAAGTGTGAACACACATTTACATCGGAGCTAAGGGGCTAGGTGAGAGAGGCAGCATCAGATGTGAGCTATGAAAGGGAATCGGAGCTGGCCAGGAGAGGAAGAATGCATACACTTAGCAGGGTCCTTCCTCTGCATTCATTTGGGCTCTAGCAGGAGTGCGAGCTGCTCAGACCAAGCGTTTATTAGATGACAAGCTGCACAAACGCAGCTGGCACAATATGGCAGGGACAACAGGGCTCCAAGCCCTGTGGATGCACCTGCTAACGAATGAAAGAACATTCTTTCCTCGACGATGCTAAAAGACAGACCAGGAGAAAGGCAATTCACAGTGCCAAACACCTTATGGGCCATCCAGCTATGGCTGGGTACGTCCTACTGCACCTCACAGCCCCAGCTTTTCCACCCCATCCCTACAGCCAAGGATTAGAGGGCACCTCTGTCCCATTTTTATTCCCTGGGAGTCCTGGGCTCAGTGTCTGGGCCAGCCTGGAGCACCATGCAATGATCCTGAGAGCAAGAGACTTTGGTCCAGTGAACTGTTCTGCCCCATGGGGAACCACCCAAAACTTTTAAGACAAGCAGTGCAGCTCTGCTTGTGCTATCCCTGACTTCTAGGGCGCAAGCCACTAACAGAAAGCCCAGCATCACAAGACCGTTGAAGAGATCCAGACATACAGTACCTGCATGATTTTCAGAGCCCTGAGAGTGTCTTCACTCTTGCCCCCAACACCTACATCGTGGTCTTCCTAGCTAGAGACAGGATGCCCTTTGGTCAAGCACCAGTGACAAAAGCACTCTGGACTTCAAGTCAACTGCAGCAACACAGGACAAGAAATCAGAAAAGTTCACGCCTGGCTAGGCAGACAGACAGCAAGTCTTGGTTTGCTGGTTCGGGGAAGAGCACAAGCTTTTCCCTGAGGAGGCTTTCACTAGCTCAAGGAACTATTAGCAACACAAACGACTGCTCTGGCAAAACCTTCAAGTGTAAGTACTGTGTGACCTGTTCCTGTCCAATGGAGTCTGGGCAACAAACACCAAGCCAAGGCCTTTACTGATGCTCCCAAAGATCAGAGGATGGGAAGGCACAGACAGCACAAGTCAATTTCACTACAAATAATGGAACGCCAGAGATGCTGAAGAGGAATGGGGCTGTTTGTTTAGTTTAAAAATATATCAATTAAACTTCCCTTCAATTCAGGCAGGAGGATCTGTCCTGTGAAGAGGAAGGCTTCATTGGTTTCTCAAAGCAAGAGTATATTTTAATTTTACCATCATTAAGAAAATGTTATGATTTATGTGGCTGCTGTCAGACTAATATCTTTAGAATTTAGCTGGCTAAGCCAATTCATCTCTAAGACTGATGAAGGCTGATTGCTCTCTATGCAAAATGTATTAAAACTAAATGAGCAGTCTATTACTCAAATGCTGCTGATAATCTGTTAGCCAGGGTCCGTTAGCTGGGCTGCCTTGTTGCAGGAGAGAAGTCTTCATGTCCTGTATGGCTCAGAGGCCCAAGCTTACTTCAGCAAGCCTTCTTTGTTCTGATGCCTTCAGCAGCTGCCCAGAGACATGCTGGCATGCTGGGAGTGCTGCATCAGCTGCCCTCGTTTCTGAGGAATGAGGCAGCCCACAGGGACCGCAGGTCACAGCACAGCTCCCTGGCTACTGATGAGCACGCTGGGATAGGTGGTGTCTGAAGGCCTCTCTCTGCATTACCAAAAAGCAACATTCAGGGCAACCTCAGTGCTTACCCCACAGCTCCCGGGATGCTCTTGGCATTGTTGTGGACTGAGCCCTCTGCAGGGGCTAAGGGAAATTATGTTCCTCAGAGAACTCCAGCAAGCAACCACAGCTTCTGAGGTGAATGGCATTTGCCCTTTTCTTTCCTTCCTTATACTAGACTATTACTGTTATTTATTATCTTTAAAGTCCCCGTATAATAATAATACCTGGGAAACAGATTGCTCTAGTCAGAAAACTGATTAGCTGGGATTTTTGAGGTTACTATATTTTGGATGCTCTACTCCTTTGACAGCTTCTCCCTACAGCCCTGTTCACAACTCCAGCCCGCGCTTATAATTACAACAACGTCGCTTTTGATTTAAGGACTGCAATCCTCTGTCCTTGCTATAAACAACCCGCACTAAACACATGAACCACATGTATCAGGAGAAAAATAAATAAAGAGTCACAGAAAATTGCGTGAACCAACAGCACGGGGCCCCAGAGCCTCCCTGCACAGAGGCAAGCCTTGCTGCTCCAGGGAAACTGTGCAGAGCTTCCTAACGATACAGGATTTTCTATGCCTTTATTTAATGCTTGAGACATCCCGCCAACAAAACCTTGCTAATTCACACTAATGACCAGGAGACCTACTGCAAATTAATTGCAAATCGGCAAAACTCATTAAATGAACAAACATGATAAGAAATAACTGAAGATACAACCTCCCCAAACGGACTCGCTTCATTTGTTTCTGTGTGCCACTCAATTTTCATGATTTATGATAATACTTTTAAGCACAGTCATAAATGTATTTGAGTTTATTTTGGAAGAGTAATGAAGGCTGTGTAATTGCAGAGCCTGCAACACAACGCCCTGTTGTGTCCTGCAGCATCACCAGATGGCAGGTAGCAGTGAGCATGGGATCTGTGCTGGGAATGGGACAGGCCTGCAGGACAGGAATAGATTCAGCTACATACCACTTGTGATTATATTTCTACGACCATCTTAAATGTCCTGCTCTTGTAAATGCTCCAATTTTGGCACTCCCAAAAATCCTGCACTGACGATCAAATTTCTTGTTTGGTCTCTCACCAAAACCCAAGAGTTTTAAATGATTGATCAGTGGTTCTTTGGACATCTCACATGACATTTTGCCCTCCCTGGTGCTGCACTCCATTTTAATTCAAGACAGTCTTTTCCTCGAAGTCATCTTTCCCCAGCCCCCAACAAAACATCCTAAAACTGTTAATCCCAACAACTCCACACTTCTGACCTGTGTCTCTGCAGCTATAAAACTGTGGTTTTACACACCAGGTCCGCTGTTCAGCATTATAATACAGCTCGCTGACATTGAAAACCACCTTCTTTGTGGATTTCAGCAGCATTTCAAGAAAACTTTCTCATTAGGCACTTTCTTCGTGGATGTCTTTAGAGTACTGAGTTGTTTAGTGGGTTTCCAGGAAGACGGAGCGCTGAAGTTTCAGATGAATAATGCTGTCTGCATTTTCTGGCTGAAGATGGGGAAAGAAGGTCAACCTTTTCCCTGCTGCATGGCTCTACTCTGCAGGAACACAGAGCCTCCACTTTTGCACGGTTTTAAGACTCAAGGAAGGAAAGAACCATATTACGTATTTTAGCTTTAGAGCTCTGCAATTTAAAAGACCCCAACAGAGAAATTCAATTTCAAGTATGAATGTGCACATTTCTGGAAATTTAAAGTGCTTAACTGCTCAGAACTAAGGCGGTACAATGAGAAGTGGATGGGTAATTACAATGGATATATGCAAAAGTTGGAAAAGTTTGAAATTACACAGATATTCTCTGCCTCAATGAATGTACACACCTTCCTCTGTCCCAGCTTACAGCCACAGACCACATGTCTTACAACAGTGCCTGCTGATCTGCCAGACTGAGATTTAGGAAAGATAATAATTAAAAAAAAAAAACATAGTGCCATGCCATTCCTATGATGCAATCTAACATTAAACACAATGATTCCTTTCAGAAGGTACATGACCATCAACTCACTCCATCAATGAGGCTTAATGCTAAATAAAACAATACTTTAGGAAAACATGTCCACATTAACTTTTGTAAGTGTTATTCCAGGCTTTGTTTTTAGACAGAAGTCAGACATACCTCACAAATTCCCAAATCAATTGTGCAGAAGTACAAACTCCATACTTCAGTCCTCCTAGTAGATGAAACTGGCTTTACATGCTGGAGGACTACACTCCTCTTATTTTAGAAACCCCATTACTGCACCAGAGTGCTCTCTTTGCACCTGAGAGTACAGGAAGGCTCTGGTCCAGATGCACTTGCACAGCACAGAGCTAGATGAAAGCGGTGATGGATGCATTTTTCTTCCAGCAATTTAACATTAATTGCCCTGCAGGTTAGTCAAAAATGTCAGCATTGGAAGCATGTTGGATTCACCTTCACCAGTTCATTCAAGATAGTTCTATAGCTCTCTTTAAAAATAAACACTCCCACATTTTCATCCTATTTGAGTCTTTACAGACATGCATTTAATTAGGAAACGCACCAGCACTCACTTAGCCCTAATTAAAGGGCATGTAATGCAACACGTCCACGGTGATGCCACAACATGAGTTTGATCCAGCCTGCACCATTTGTTCATAACATTTATTCACAGAAATGAGCACGCCATCCTCCTCTCGTGCCTCTGGCAGGCTCCCCATGGACATTACTCTCTCCCACTTTCTTGCAGAGTGCAAAATTTACAACTTCACTACTGAAAAACTGCAGAAGCAACAAGCACAATTCAGCTAACTGATGCATGGGAAGTTCAGATCTGGAAACATATACTTTCCCACCTAATAAGAACGTGCTGACCACCACCAGACTATCCTAGCGAGATGCCTCAGACTGCAATCAATACAAAACAAATAAATTATTAATTGTTCCAAGTAATTAAATTTATCAAATCCAAATAAACTGATATTTTATGGAACTGCTTCCAAAGCTAAGCCTCTGAAGGGACAGTATTGATCACAGGACAGACAGATGTTTCACATGGTCACAGCCGATGAGGTCTGGGTTTGCATTAATGACAGGCAAGGAACAGAGCCAACAGCCCCTGCTACAGAGTAAACAGGCACTGTGCTTGGCCATTTAATTGTGAGTCAGACCAAATAGGGAGGATAAACACACACACAACCCCATCTTCCCTTCAAGTATCATTCATCTCAGTGCTGCAGTAAGCACTCAGTTCATACTCCAAGGAAAAAAAAAAAAGGATGGAAAAGAAATCACACGCACATTCCCCCTACAACCACAGTAAATTCTTACTCATTAATCAGTGCTAAAAACAAAATGCTCAGCTGGCTAGTAAATATTTAAAAGCTGTTGAGTGTGAATATTTGAATCAATGGGTACTAAAGCTGTACTTGAAATTTGCCTTCTTCTACTTTTATTAATTGGTTAGAGGGGCAATTTGTCTACAAGATGCTGGTTAGCAGAAGGGGCCTCCCTGCTGGTTGAAAGCCCTTCCTGAGAAGATGGCCAGCTCTGAATGACCAAGCTGCAGTCTTTCCTGTGGGCTGAGATCTCCACAAACTCCTTTTCACCCTCAAGTTCTGTTTTGTTACCACGAGACATCACTCAATAGATTTTCTTACAGTTCCTTTGTTTCCAAAGCCATGACAATAGAGCAAGGACACAGATCAATATTAGAAACAAACAGGAATAGGGACAAATGTCCATCCTTTTGCATCCATCACCTTCCTTCATAAAAGCACCACTGTTGCCATTCAACAGCACGAGCTAACCATAACTTAAAATTTGCAGGCAAAGCTGAGAAAGAAAATGAGCAATTCAAGGTAAAACACCAAAGAGAAGTTAAGCATGCCAAAGTATGCCCTGATCAAAATGCAGCCTAAGGTTAAACTTAAAGCTGAATATGACATGGCACAGAAACAGTGGTGAATTCAAAACAAACCCAGCTCTGCCCTGTAGAAGCAATGCATGGCACAGATCACAGACATGTGGTTACTGTTGGTTTGGCTGCATCCTGGAAAAGATTCAAGATTAACAGCTCTCATTTTCCTTCCCTTCAGGCAGGCCCTCAGCAAAGCCTTCCTTGTGGCTCCCTGCCTTCCCTTCAGTCTCTTCCTCTCCATTCCCCATACAAATTCCCTACTCATCTCTCATTTCCTCTGGCTCTTTGGCTACCTGCCCTCCCAGCTGAGCAGAGCTGGTATAACAGGAAGCTTTCTAGAAGTAACACTTAGAATTAATAATACATTCCTGGTGTTATTTTCATAACAGCTTTACTAACACCAAAAGCAAAGGTGTAAAATTCCTTTTCAAGGAACTCATGAAAGGCTTTACTCCCTTCCCAAACATCTGCTACCACCTCCTGTTCTCAGTGGCACCAAGGCAATACACTGACTTGAATTAAGATGAAGCTTTTCATAATGCCCAGCTTCCCACTGCCATTAGAGAAACTCACAATCTGTGCTGTCAGGAGGCAGAGGGGAAATCCCATGCAGAGCAAGGGCACAGGGGCTGTGGCCTTCTTTGCCCGTGGCCACAGCCCTATGGAGAACAATAGGAGACTGAAGCCATTGTGATAGAAGGCAGCTTGTCAAACTCACTGGAGAAGATTACACTTCAGCGTCTGCTGAAGGAGAAACTTTCAGTTATGAAGAATAATGGCTGTAAGTGACCATTAATCCTATAAAAAAAAAAAAAAGTCTTCAAATTCAGCCTGTGCATAAGATATTTGTAAGGTTTAACAACAGGGGGAATTTTAAAAGCCTGAGCTGCTGTCATTAAAACTACTAGGATCAAATTAAGTTGAATACAGACTGCTACCTTCTTCTTCAAGGACACATTTCTATATATTAATTTTAACTCAAGTTATCAGACTAATTGTAAATCTTCAGGAAATAAAAGAATCTCTCTAATCAAAGAGTCAGTGCTATTAAGCCTTGGGATGGTGTGATGCATTTCTCACACGTGACAGAGGTTGAGCCCCCATTCTTAGTGCAAAATCTGGCTGCACCTAATCACAAAGGTGTAAAGCATGATGGCAAAGTACAAAATAGAGAGGACAACAGAAGCAGTTACGTGAGGAACACTTTAAGTCTTCAGGCAAAAGAACTGCAGGATATCACAAGCCTTCAGGAATCATTTTCCAGTGTGCTCAGAGCAAAACACCTCACACTGAATGTTGCCAGAGTACAGGTTTCCAGCACAGAACACCACTTCCCCCACTAGCCCTAGCCAGCTCCCACTCTTACCAATCCAACACACCAGTGTGGAGAGGGTTTTTCATGAAAATCCCACAAGTGAAGTATTTGGATTAGCATGGATTGTCAGCTCTACTTTATACCACTCAGCACTTCAGCACCTCTCACCAGTTCACAAGGCCTGTACTGATCTTATGTAATCAGTTCCCCTCATCATCCATATGTGAAAGAAGTCAACCTATTAGGAGGAAGAATTAAATAAAGAACCCAGGCAACTGACTAAAGACTACAAATGAATTCATTTTGCTGACTGGAAGGGAAGATTCATGTTTCCAAGCAGCAAAGTGCTATTTTTCCATCTAAACCAGTGATTTGCAATCTTTTAAAATTTGCAAACGATTGGTACTTATCATACCAGCATTTACCTCAAAAATGTTAAGCAGAGCATACAAAGCTGCTTTAGGTCATCTCAAGAGATTGGATACTGTAGGCTGAAAGTTGCTGAAGCAGACTGCCATGCCTTAGCTTATCGCTGCATTTTCTAAGCATTAAAGAGAACAGGAAGAAGCCTGTGGCACCTATTTTCACAAAGGATGGGATCTGAATTGTGCTGTTTGGCATACAAAAAGGCTGCTGGCTTTGCCAGATGGTTCTATCACTGACAGGTTATTGCTCAGCTTCCCTTTAAGGGGAAAAAAAATAAGAAAGATCAACCATCACTTACTAGTTTTCAAAATCAAAATCAATCCCCATAAATTACTCTATTTATCTTAGTGCTGGAGAACACATCTGCCATGCTTCCATAAATCTCAGCACATGCACTGCAGTATTGCCCATCACTTGCTGTTTTTTTTTGTTGGTGTTTTTGTTTGGTTTGGTTTGGGTTTTTTGGCAGAGGTTTGGTTTTATTTTGGGTTTTTTTCTTGTTTCTCAAGGCTGCAGCCTCTTTTCACACAGGTAAGGTGGTGGCACTTTGCACTAAAGGGCTCCCCTCCCCAACACTGGCTTTGCACAGGCATGCCACCTTTAACGTGCACATACAGCAGCAAGTTAAAGCAGCATCATCCCCAACATATTTTTATTAACAGCCCCAGGGTATTCCCAACAAGATCTGAAACTATTCTGACACGAAAGCAGCATCCCATAAAATATTCTTTAAAGTGATCTAGAAAGTGGGGGGAAAGGGCAAGAAACCTAATTCTCCACCTTTGCTGCAATAATGTAACCAAGGATTCTTTTATTTGGTTAGAAAAAGAAACCAAATTTGTCCTGGGCAAACAGGATTTTGCTATCAAAACTCCTCTGAAAACATTCAGCCAGGCAGGCAGCTTTACCTGACTTTGTATCCCAAAACGTGTCGCTAAGAGACAGATCTCAAGTTTTGCAGATTAAACAGCAAGAATGTTCTTTTCTCAGAGATATCTGCACAACAGGATGAACAAAAGTGCTTTTCCCACACATATTTTCCAAAGCTAGATACTGGGAATAAAAAGACTAAAAATTGGATGCATTTATGTACCTCTCTCTTTTCAAGCCATAATCTGAAGATCCAGTCCTTAAATGCACCTTCTCACCTACTAACACAGGTGCTTAACATGGCCTGTGACATTTAGCTGCAAGCTGTTTGGATTAGATAGCTCCATTTGGGTCTGCCACGTGTGTCCAACAGCCGAGTGGGCACACCAGTCACAAACATGAGCAAGCTCAGGTGCCCCTGCAAGGCAATGTGCTGGCTTCCACAGAGCCAGCATTCCTAGTTTCTGAGTCTCCACATTTATGGAATTCCTTTCTTATTTTAGAGGCAAGATCTTGACTTTCTTTAGCTATAAAAGGAGAACAGGCAGACTGAAAGATATTAACAGAGGTCCCACGGGACCAGAACAACAGCCTACCCTCTGGCTTCGCAGCGTGACACCTGCAGATTTGAAGTCAGGAAACTTGATGCCAGCAGTCTCAGGAACGGCCTGAAAGAGATCGAAACAGGATGTGTTGATGGAGGAAATAAAAAACACAACATTTGATAGAGACACTATCTGAAGGGGAAACGCTGTTTCCTATGACAGAACCACCTGCCACGGCCACATGTCAGAGCTGGGGGAAGAGGAAAATCCCAAACAAACTCACAGTGAAAAATACTGGGGCTAAAGGTACCTCTGCAGAGCTCAAGCACTTTGTTAGTTTGTTTTAAAAGCACTGCTCTCCACAAAGCCTTACACCCATCTAATGAGCATAAACCCTAACCCTAAATGGTGGTACCACCATATGCATATTTGCACACTATTATCCCTGTCTAACCTGGCCCATTTCACTGATCAAAATAGCCCAAGACTTCCCAAATCTGCAAATTCTCTAATGTAAGAGCTGAGAAACTTCTGATCTGCACAGATATGAACCCACTAACGAGGATGTGCAGATCATAACGACTGCACCCCTCCAGGGAAGCCTGCTGTTCATACACATTTTTCCATTTGTCCTTTAATTAGACAGTTCTCTTTTTTCCCCACTTCAAATTTTGAGCATAGTAATATGAGAAAGTAAACTTCTAACACAGCTGCTTGACAGCACAGCATACGGCTGCATTTAAGCAAAATGGAAAAAATAAATGTAATCCCATAAACATCTGTGCTGCTGAACACAGGTGAGCATATTTTTAAGTGATTAAACCAGGCTATCAGCAGGACCCTTTGCATAGAATAGGGCCCCCTGGATGGGTCAGTGATACTCATGATTGAATCTAACAATAGCCACAGTCACTGCAAAATGCACGCTCAATCGTATTTTTCCAAAAGGAAAAGTTATCTCAAATCTCCCAATTTCTTTGGAGACAGCATTCACCTTGCTGCTCCATCATTTCTATGTAAGAGTCTCTGCAGCTTGCTCTTTGTTCTTTCCAGATAGGGCTGATACAAATGAGGGCCACCCCACGACCAGAAGATGTTGAAGGACAGCGACTCAATTCTTCAAGTTCCCTGCCACTGACTCCCACTGCTGTATCAGCTACCTATATGTCTTCGTTTGGAGATAACACCTTGCAAATCACTCTGCATGGCCAGGCATTCAAATTTTTGTTGTCTCTGATCACCCCAACCATGAGATGCCCCAGGAAGAATTTTCTAAACATGCCCATGGTGGAAAAAGTTCTCTCTAACTACCAACTTTTAGGGGATCACTTTGAGATTCAGCAGGTTGCAGCCTCTCTCCCTGCATTATTAGGGAGAAAGAAGGCTGCAATCAAAAACCAGTAGTCTCTGCTTCCTGTGGATGAAGGCTGGCTTTCACACGTGCCAAACACTGCTCCCCAGTCTGTTGCTGAACACCCTGACACAAGCACTGAAGGTAAATCAGCATTGTTGGCTTAGCTGAGACAACTCTGACTGCACTCAGAACATAAGCAATTAAATGAGTTCTTTTGCCTTGCGTGCCTGTACATGCTGTAAACGCTTCAACCTCAATTGACTCTTTGGTAAATGATTTTCCTTTGTTGAAATGATGCTGATGCAGCTCCCGATTCAAATTCTTAGTTAAAATGCAATTTTTTTCTTAACGTTTCCCGGCTATGGTTGGTAATTGACTCCTAATGGACTCTGTCATGGTTGAAATGATGCTAGTGCAACAACAGAAACTGCTTCTCTGCCCACCTCGGTGTGCCTATCCAGTACGTGACTGCAGACAGGCACCAGCCCCACATGCATTTAGTGCTAGATTCCCTCGTCTTGGCATCCACAGCATCCTTCCAGTCCTATTCTCCACCATCACCTTTTTGTCATTACCACTAATGATGAGCTACTTTATTCAGAGGAAGACAAGTGGGTAAGCCTTAACAGATCAGCCCTCAAGGGAATTCAGCACACAATGTCCCCAGCACTACTGTAGTCATTATGTTGGCTTGGGTGTTGGGGGACAGTTTTAAGGTAGCAGTGGCTATTAGGCACGCTTCACTGGGCAATAACTCTCTAGCATTCACTTCTTCTCTCCCCTCTCTGCACAGAACCTTTTGGAGGATGATGACAAGTGTTCCATGATCACAATGTGGATGGACAAGAGTTACTAGTGATTAGATGGAAATATCTGAAATGTAACAGCCCCTTCCTATCAAAGGTGCTGATTTTAGTTCAGTTCACACTGCCCTCTTTCCAGAAAATGAAATTAAGGTAACATCAAATGTGAATCAAAATCTGTGTTCTGGGCTTCTTAGACTTTACCTTGGCTCAGAAAGAAACAAGACACAATAGCTTCCATAATGCAGGAGTATCACAGAATGGCTGGAAGGGATCTCTGGAGGTCATTGATTAAGCAGAGACACCCAGAGCAGGTTGTTCAGGCCCGTGTACAGGCAGCTTTTGAAGATCTCCAAGGAGGGAGACTTCACAACCTTTTTGGGTAACTTGTTCCAGCACTCTATCACCCTCACAGTAAAGAAGTGCTTCCTGATGTTATTCAGAACCTGCTGTGTTGCAGTTTGTGCCCATTACCTCGTCCTGGCACTGGGCACCACTGACAACAGCCTAGCTTTGCCCTCTGTGCACCTTCCCAACAGGCATTAATGGACACTGACAAGACCCACCATCTTTCCTCCTGTCCCAAGCTTCCTTTCTTCCCAGCTGAACAGAACCAGCTTCCTCAGCCTCTCCTCATAGCAGAGATGCTCTGCTCCATTTATCATCTCGGCAGCTCTCTGTTGGACCCTTTCTAGTGTGTCCATGTCTCTCTCCATGGACACAGCATCTCAGCAAGACCGCTCTGATCACAGCTGAGGCTCAGGAGAGAGACATGGAATGAGCTTGAGAAAATGTTCCTGAGAATCAGGAGCATGGAGGGGATGAAAAACCTGGACCAGGAAAAGAAGGCAGGCGAAAGATAATGGGTCTGTGTGACAACTCTGCACAGCAGTAGCAGAACACCCTTAGGAGAGTAGAGACAGATGTTTTTCTCTCTGCCATGAGACATGAATGGTTGGCTGACACCATTTCATCCTGTTTCTCAGGTAGGGAAAGGAAAACATTATTTAAACCAGCACTTTTCAAATGGAAGACAGCATACTAGAGTTCTCTGCAAATGGCTGACTTCCAAAATTCATCCAAAGAATATCTACCAGAATGCAGCCATCAGCCACTCTCCCCTAAAATGCTGAAAGCCTGATCCCGGTAGAATTGTTGAAGCAACACATGTTACCCAGCCAGATCACAAAGAAGGGGAAAAAAAGATAAATGTTTACAGGCTTCTCTGTCTCTTTCTTCTGCGGCAGCTTCTTCTTGGGAGCCTTGCGTTCAGCGCGTCTCTGTTCAGTGGTGGTGTCAGCAGCTGTGATGAGTTTCTGCAGATCTTGTGTTCTCTTCTCTCTCTCCTTCTTTCTGGTTTCAATTTTGCGGAGCTCCTGAATGAGATATTCTTCTTCTGCCACCTGCAGACCAGAGCACAGAAAGGCAATCTGAGTTGTAGAGGAGGCCTGGCAAGACAAGGGGGCCATCTACTGATAACAACCATGCTCTGGATCAGCTGACTTTAAGTTCCTCTGCCTAAGCAGAGAGCTCAGATTTATAGAGCACATTACGCTCTGCAGAGCACAGTAAGACAGTTTACAACCTAGCAGGTACTGTATGGCAACACTCACGGTCCACCCTTCAGCAGCAATCATGAGTGATCAGTCTCCCCTTCAGACAAGAAGAACGAGCACAGACAAAATGGGTAAAAAAGCTCAAATATGCTATAGCCGCAAATGCAGTGCTATGAAAAGCTGACTCCCCCCAGGCATGTAATTACATTACATCTAATATCAGCACACCAATATATCTGGGAAAGACAAGCAGAGTCATTACACACACAAACTTATCACTAGTTTGAGCACCTAACAGAAAAGGAGCTTCCCAAACTTTGGGGAACACGCAGCTCCTTAATCTCTAAATCCCAAAACCATTATGCCACTTCAACAGAGAGGAAAACTAAGCATGACAATTCATAGCCTTTGATCAACTCTGGCAAGATTTATACTCCAAAGGAAACAATTCTCTCCCTCTTGGGACTCAGGACCTTTGTTAGACCTGTAGATGGTATATGCTCACCGTGAGCCTATGGGAACCAGAATGAATCCAGATATTATGAAATATCACAGAATTGTAGGGGTTGGAAGGGACCTCTAGAGACTAGTCCAACCTCCTGCACATTCTCAAGAGTAGATTACACAGGAAAGCATCCAGGTGGGTTTTAAATATCTCCAGAGAAACAGACTCCACAACCTCTCTGAGGAGCTTGTTTCAGTGCTCTGTAACCCTCAAAATAAAGAAGTTTTTTTTATACATGCTGCTGATATCTAAGGACACTGATCTGAGAACTTGGTTCTATTCAGAGGACTGGAGCAGTTAAGTGTCACAATGAAAGTACTAGCAGTTACCAGAGAACATAACTCTGCCTATCCAGCTCTCTTACCTGTACAGTCAGACTCCTTAGTAATTGTCCCTTTGTATCCTTTAAAAATGAGAACCCCCCCAAAAAAAAAGCAGTGCATAGGTGTTGCTGTTTTATTGTTCTGTCTTTTTTTTCCTTTCCCTATTTTCAGCCTATTTTACCCACCCACTGACTTAAGCCTGGCATAAAAATTTTGGGGGCAGCAATACTCTCTTCTCCATTACCTGTTCTGGTGTCCTATTGTACAGCCTTTCCAGTTGTTCCTTCCTCCTCCTCTCATGGCCAGCATCAAAAACTGGGATTTTCAGGTCTGTGCCTGGAGCTGCACGAATATTAGCCAGCTTGGCACAAATGTGGTAATACCGTTCCTTCAGGTCTTCCACAGATCTTTTCTGAGGAAGATATCAAAAGAGACTATATTATGAAAGAACCAAGCAAAACATTGCACAATAGCCAGATAAGGACACAGTAGCTGAAGTATGTGAGGTGGGGTGTAAGAGAACACCTCGGATGAGGATTACCAGGAAACTGACAAACATACCAGAGGCCTCCTCTGAGCTGCTGTCATAGCAGCAGTCATAGCCAAGAAGGCATGAGCTGTAACAATTTATTGCCCAACATTACATGGAACCTAAACCATGTTCTATCACAAGCAATAAAGGTGTTTGGGCTGCCCAACTGGGCAGACTCTTGTTATTTCACTTTGTTACATGCTCTTCACCCAAGCATTTCAGAAGGCAACAAAAGCCTCCAGCTCTTGAAAGCTCTCTGTGGGAATCGCATCACTGCCAAGTCACCAAGAGGTTAGAAGAGATTTAGGATTGCATCTTCAGACCACTGATGGTCAATACTTCACCAAAGAGATGACAGAAGCCTGCACCCAGATCAAACCTCAAGTCAGAAGTAGCACAAGAGAAAAATCTCAGTCTTCCAAGGGAACATGAGAAGATTCTTCTCCCAGGGCTGTTACAACAACAGAGGACACCTATCCTGCTCAGTTAAACAAACTCCCCAGCTGCCTCATCTTCAGGGAATGATGAGTTGTTCTCCTGGCAGGGACAAACCTAACTTTCTAATAAAATGCAACAGGGAATGAGCACAAGTCACGGTGGATTTAATTACAAACAAAACAAGCAGCAATGCCCTGTGCTGGAAATTCAATATTCCCTGCTGCCAATAATTCATTATTTTCCCCTAATTAAGTTGATATAAAGGGTAATTTGCTCTTTGCAGTACAGCAAGCCCTACATGTGCTGTAACAGCAAGCTGCCAGCAACACCTTGGCCCTTGGGACTCACCTTAAACTGCTGGTGATCATAGCGGTCATGAATCACCACGAAGCGCAAGTCAAAACGCCGAGCCAAGTCGAAGAGGTGGTCTGTCTCTGCTTTGGTCCACGCATCATCATGGAGATACATCTGGTACTCCTGCTCTGAGTAGACAGGTACCTGCACTGTCTAAGCAGGGAAAAGAAAAACATGGCAGCTCTCTTACAACACTACCTTTCTCACATAGCCAGCTGATAGGAGCTGAAATTCTGGAGCCAAGAGCAAGAGCAGCAGGCTGACAGGAGGGATGAAGGGTCAGGGAGGCACTGTGAGAATCCTGAGCAATGTGCCCTGATAGAAAGTGTAAAGTAAGCAGAGGAAATTATAAGGAGCAACATGGGATCTCAGCACCACAAACACAACATTCAGGAACTACTGCCTGGTAGGCTGAAGCCTACTTCAAGTGGTAGACATAGGCAGAGTCACCAGCCCATATCCCGAAAATAGGTTGCAAAACTGCCACATAAACATGAGATTGAAATCAAGGCTGGGCCAGCTTCCCTCCCTTCCTCTCACATAGCAGCACCAATACTTTAGCATCAGCTGCTCTGACAGTTGATTCTAATTGAGCTGGGACATGCCTGCTGCATGGAAGCAACGGGATAGACAAGAAGGGGGTCCTATTCCTCAGTATACTTCCTGCTTTGATACAAAACCCACTTCTTTCAGAGCACAATTCACACCGAGTATGAAGATCTGAAAGACCAGGTGCAGTACAATGGAGACCTGTAAGCCTGGCAAACAACTCTGCCTTTCCTTCCTCATCTACCCTCAGAGATGCTACAAACACCAGTTCCATTCCAGGTGCCTAAAAGGTCAAATCCACACCACATTCTCCTGCTTAAAAATGCTCTGCAGAGGCTCTGTCCAGAACACAAGTGTCACACAGTGCTCCCTCAGATTACTAAAGGAACAATAAAAATACTTAAAGTCACTCCCTCCCTTACCACTCCTGCAGTGGAATTTTGCTCTGCATGATGAAGTCTTGCAAGAAAAACAAGAAAACATCACATGCATGTAAGCAGCACACACGCTTCAAAACCTCCACGCCCTCCTGAGTCCTACAGCAGAAAACTCATCATCATGAACTCCACACAGCCTCTTTAGATCTCTCCTGCCTTTCTTCCAGCACTTAGGCACGGAAGCATAAAGGTGAAGAATGCCTCTTGGAGACACACTGCACACATCTCAGCCTTCAAGCACTATTTCTATCAAAAGAAAAGCCATCCTACTAGACACCATAAGGATGTCCTATATACTTCTTCAGAAAAATTTTCTTTTTTAAGAGTAGCATACATACATGAAAAGAGCACAGCCCTGTGCAGTGGATGGCAGGGAAGGTGGCAGATCCCTGGTCATAGAAGAGAATGAGACAAACAAAGAGCAGTCCCCAGACACCTTCTCAGCTTCTCTCTCAGTGGCTCACAGGCTTCCCCAGCTATGACAGTCTACACAATGGGGACTCCTTCAAAGTGATAACTTACAAGAGTTACTTTGGTTGCTTGTATAAGTCACTTAAGGTTTTAGCACCTTGTGGCCACACAACTCAGTATTTGAATTTGCAGTGAAACAACTCGAAGCTGGATCAGCAGAAATGGGAAGAGACTTCTGAGTACAAGGAACGCAGTTAAGCACTGCAGCGCTGGAAGCAAGTCTCCTGTAAGAAGACAAGCTCTCATGAGATGGGAAGCCTGAACATCAGATGACCATCAGTTCAAATGTAATATAGCCATGAAAATGCAAGCAAGAGTCTCCAAGGGGATTTCCAGAAGAAACTGAAAGGGCTTCAGTTGCATAACAAGACCTTGTCTGGAATACCAACTGCAACTCAAATGACCAATGCTCAGAAAAGATGAACTGAAATGGGAACAAGTAAAGAGAGGAGCAACGAGGATGAGTAATAGGGTGGGGAGCTTGTCCTCTCTCCGCAGACTGGATGAGAAAGGAGCCTAATAAAAGAAGCCTGAAAGAGATCTGACTGCAGGCTTCAAGTATGCTGGACGGAATGCAAAGAATACTCACAGGATGGGAAAAAAAAAAAAAAAAGAAAGAGAAAAAGATACAGACAAAGAAATTGGCTCACAAGGAAAAAAAAATTGTCCATTTAACACGGAGAATTCAACCTGGAAATGAGAAATGGAGCAGAAAGTGACTGGAACAGCTTCCCAAGCAAGCACAAGGGCAGGGAAATCCAACAAATGGAACTTGATCAGTTTATGAAACGGACTGGATGGTGCAGGGGCTGAAAGAGACGAGACAAGGATTCAATGGCCCAGAAAACCCCTCTCAGTCCTACATTTCACACTATAAACTCACACAATGATGGGCTTTAAATTAGCTGCAACTGCTCAGGAAAGATCCTGGAGCCATGAGACAGTTCTAAGCTTTTCACAGTGCTAAGCAGCAGTGAAAAGACAAACTGAACAGTAATAATGATTAGAAAAAAAGAAACACGGCCTAAGCGCAAACCCACCATACCTCCAGAACAGCAACATGCACTCACAGTCCACCCATTTCTAAAGAAAGGATATTTCAGAACAGAGGGCAGATGCAAGTCAAAGCATGGAAAACACTGTACACAGCAAGGACAGTTTACTGTTTTGTAACTCAAGAGCTCAAAGGCATCAAATGAAATACACAGATAACAGTTATGAACAACACGGAAGCACCTCTTTGCACTACACAAAATTAACCTGCAGAACTCACTGCTGCAGAACATTCACAAAGCAGATTTCTGCCCTGAATGCACCCACTATTAAAAACAAGTTCCAAGTTAAGAAATCCCCAAGTGAAACACCAGCAGAAGCTAGCAACAAATGCTCTATATTTGCCCTCTTCTCATACTCTTTCTCCAAGCCTTTATGAACAGTAGTCAGAAAGAGAATTTTGGTCAAGACAAGCCTTTTAAGCCTTTGCTCTGACACCAGTGAAGCTGTTTCTATGTTCTCATTTGACAATGGATCGTAGGGAAAACTGGAAGCACAGAGAAAAGGCAAAGCAACTGAGCAGTGGTGCAGGAATGGGTTTGAGTGACCAACAGGAAGGTCTGCACAAGAATGTGGGCTCATTAACAGGAGTGAGAAACACAGGCAGAGGTATCATGTATGCAAAAAGGATCCAGGAGAAAAGTAGGGAAATAAATAAATTTCTATGATGTAGCAAATATCTGTAGAGCTCCACATGAGTGCCTTCTACCCTCCCAACCACAGATCCACAGCAAGTGTAACAACTTGCCCCTAATATTACATAGGTGTGTGGGTCCACACAGATGGCAGAGGTCTGTACCACTAATCTGTAGGTTGCAGCCTTGCTGAAGACTCTTCTGTCTGTCAATTCACAGTACATGATAAAGTTGAGGAAACAAGAATCATATAATTACAACACCCAAGCATGGTCCCCTCTGATAAACTTGTCTGAACTCAGCCAAAAACTGTTAGAGAGGTAGAGTCTTGGAGATAATTATATTGCCGAAGTTTCATGCAGACAGCTAGGTAGGTGCCTTGACTAAGTGAGTCCAGTTTCAGACTTCCACCCTAGACATCAGAGAAGAGATACCACAGGAGGCTCTTACCAGCGTCCCAACAAAAGAGAAAGCAGCAGTCAGAGTATGAGCCTTCTAATATACAAGGTCAACCAACCACTTAACTCTGCAGGAAGCCAGGCTTTGTTAGTGCTGATGCTCTACGGGTTGCAAACTTAAAATGTTGCATACAGTTATATACAAGCAGAGCTTCTGCAGAATCATGTGATCACATGCTTTTTTTTTTTTCCTTCCTCCTTGAGGTCTGCATCATAAAGGGGGTTAAATGACATAATGGAGGCATACTAAGTCTCCTCCATCCTAACTTTTGAGGTCCTGACTTTGAAATATAAATCTTGCTGTAGCTTCGTTTCTGTACGCACATGAAAGCATTAACCACTCAAAGCAGATACATCTGGGACAAAAGACAGCAGGAGATTATAACAACACATTGTGATAATTTAATATAAGATGCAAAGAACAGGGTACTGCACTACACTGATACCATGGGAGCAATTTCAGAGGAATGCGATATAATTCAGTATCTGTGTTGGAATCTGGCCAAAAGGCTGTAAGCCAGCATTTTGGCCAAGCAGCTACAAGTGAATTTTTTCATACTGGGCAAGATAACAAGACTTATGACTTCAATGCCTCACTCAGAATAGAGCATTTACTACCCACAGCCTGTAATCAGAGAGAAGACATTGGTTAAGAAGCTAATTAGATGGTGCAGTGACTCCTTACCAAATTGGTGACTGCACCCCCGAAACACAGAAATACTCTGGCAAGCTCTGACCACATACTGAGCCCACTTAGCTTGAAGGATTTGGAGACTTCATAGTCTGAGGTTACAAGGCTGCATGCAGATCATGCTGCAATTTAAAATGCAACTGTCAAATCTATTTCAGCCTTCAGACATTGAAAGAACCAGCTTCCTGTCTGGATACTCAAAAAGCTGATGAAAGGATAGTTTGCAGCTGCTATTTACTCACTTCTATTTGAAACTGACCCCACTTACTTTATTGAACCTGGCAAACGGGTAGTCCTTTCCCTCCTCTGCTGCTCTCCTCCAGTGGTAGAACATAGCTCCATCTTTTCTTGCTGGGTTGGTGAAGGGCATCCACTTCCAAGGCCGGACTTTCTTCGACCCCAGCTTTGCTTTGACTGTTCGATAACCCTGAGTTGTATCACTTGGCAGCAGTGGAGGTGCATCCCTGTGGTGGAGACAAGCACCAGCTGAAGAGAAGCAGGAAGAAGCCCAGAACAACCCAGAGCTCAGACTCAGAGTGGGAATTCCCACAATATCTAGGGTGGGACAACCTGAATTTCAATTTTATTCCAGAATTTGCGCTTCCCAAACTGCAATGCTAATATGCTCAGCTCTTCCATGATGCTTCAGTGCTGGTTATACAACAGCACCTAACTCTAAATTTCTCTAAGCCAACTCTAGATTAGTGCTGACATAAGCTAAAGCACAGCTCAAAACTTCTAAGGTAAAAAAGATGCGGAGATGATTACATACTGTCAGAGAAATAATTTTCATTGCATAAGTTGAAAGTTGCATGCATCAGAGAACAGAATGCACTGCATGGATAATTGTGAACACAATCACCTGGAAAGTAAACTATGTAAGAACCCTCCGGCACAAGGGCACAACCCAGAGCAAGCCAAATACAGGATGCAGCAGTACTCTGCAAAAGTAAAAGCAGGTGCTATTCCCAGCCACAAATAGAAGAGCATTAGATAAAGAGAGGTAATAACACTGCACTGGCCTATTGCACGTGGACTTAATTCACTTCATACACAAAGTAAACCCCTCAAATTTAGAAGAGAGGCAAGGCACTGCCCACGGAAATCCAAGAGAGGGGCATGCAAGTGGGCCAAGCACAATGGGCATCGACAGTGGAAGGCAAGACTGTGGATGCACGCAGATACTGCCCAGCTACAACCTGTACAGACGAACTCAAGCTCTTACTTTTTGTCAGAGTAGAGGAGTGCATAAACTTCTCTGTGCATTCCTTCTGGCCTCTTAAACGTCAACGTCTCTGAAGATTTCTTGGATTTTTTCTGAAACAAAATATTTGAATTTTAGTTTCAGACATGGCAATCTCCAAAGGAACATATACAACTACAAGAGCTGGTGCTCTGTTACATTCTTCATTTCTGAAACCTTGAGTTTCTCCAGAAAACTGCCAGCTCCTGTGGAAAACATTGACAACAAAGCACGCCTGCTTTCAGTGATAGCACTCGCTACTACTCAGACACCTGTTTCTGAAAATACTTTGATCTGCTGACCTTACAGCAGCCCCACGTTAAAACTAACAGAAGAATCACTTATCCAGGTAAACCTTCACTCCTGTCTCAAGTGTCATATTCACACAGTAAAGCTTCTGTTTGCTTTTTGTTTTTTTCCCCACGTACTATCCTTATATTGAGAATTCAGGACAGACAATTCAATCTAGCCTTTACAAATTTTGTCAGAGCTGACGGTTTCTAAGACATAATCCATCTTCTATTACCTACACAATTTTATAAAGAAGTAACATTAACTACTGCATTATCAAGGTACACTTTGAGTGAGCCAAGTTTACTGAGTAGTCCAAAGCATTTGGTCTTTCTAACTACTTACCATGTCACTATTTTAATACACTTGCTTACCATAGCACTACCTCTTTTAAATATTTTGTGACAGTAAAAGTAACTCCGTAACATAAACTGTATTGAACAGACACAGTCAATTCTAATAAGAAAATTCAAAATCCCATTTAAAAAAAAAAAGCTATTATCTTGAACTACAACTCCTATCCATACAACTTCATAACACACATTCATTATATTAGTACATTTTTACTCCTAATCAAATACCTTTCTCTGAGCTTGTCAATCACTTTGCATAGGAGCAATGTAAGGCCAACCAGGGCAGTTATCCATATGACCAGTTTGAATATTGGCTTCTAAAATTCCCCCAGCGTTTCCAGATTTATTAAAAGTTAATGTCAGCAAGTCAGAGATCACCTCAGCCAGCTCTTTTAGGACCTGAGAACAAATTACCTGCTTCTGTTGATTTAAATGTTTTTTATGCCCAGTAATTTCTTTAAAGCATTCTCAGTCACTAATGGACTGGAAAGTACTTCATCGTTCTCCTGTTATTTAAAGACATCAATCTGATTCTTTTCTAGTTGAGAACAGAACTATTTCCTGAGCAAGTGCTGCACCGTTATTACTGATGCTTATCTCTCTTTGTGATAATGAATTATGCCCTTGGTATGATTTCATTTCTGTACTGTGCAGAAATTCCAAATGCTTCACTCACAGCTGCACACAGCCTCCACCACTCCTTCCAAAACCTCCCACTTTCCTTCCCTTTCCTCTCTCTTTCCATTAGACAGCCAAATTTGACAAGAACCCCATTTTGTCTTCCACTTCAAAAGAGAGAGATATTCTCAGTACTCCTTCAACTCTCTGCTAGCCAAAAAACAAGTGCATCTCAACCAAAGAACTCACAACTCTGTGCACTCAGCAGCACAACATCACAGGCTGAATCCAATCAGTGAACTGCTTGCTGGACACACTTTACCATAACACTTGATAATTGGTGATTGTAACACTTCAACCTTCTAATTAGTGAGTATAATCAGTTTTCCATTACCCCAGTTATAAACTACGTGCTCTATTCCCAGCAAGGCAGTCACAAAACCTCTACAGCTCTCTTCAGAGCCAAACATTCCAGTGGAAGCAAGTAAAGACGTTAAGGAAGGGAGACGGTGGCGTTTTTCATTTTGTTGTGGCTGTTCTTTTCAGACAGTATACAGGCTTTACTTCAAATGAAGCCATCTCTGCTACAGACAAATCCCTGGGGATTTCATCTACCCTGCACCATTTTCCAAGCACCTCCACATCCCATTATTAGCTGTGAATTGATCTTCCCAACACCTTGCAAAGCACGGAACAGTAAGATCTTGCCTGAATTTAGAACACAGAAGGCAACAGCACCCAGTAGTATATTACCACAGAGAATGCAGCATACTTTCTTAACTACTTCCCAACTTGCCCACATTCCCACAGGCAACACTTCCCAGTTGTCCCAAAGACAAGGCACACAGCTTGCCCACATGGGGCCTGCTTGTTCAGTTTGAGAGGATTTAACATTTAAACAGGTCAGACAACATCTTTGTCTTCTCAAGCAGAGCTGCTCTGTATTACTTACGTATGCTTGGGGGCAAGACACTAAACACCTTTTTCTCTTACCCCCACAAGAGGAGAATTTTGGAGACAGTTGAAAACATTCTAGGGCCAGGCCTGGCTCACAAGAACACTATATGCACAGCTACAGCTTAAATACTGCCCCAAATGCTACAGCACCAGTAACTAAGAACTACAGGAACCCAGGAACAGAGCCCTGCAGGCATGTCTAGGTACACCACAGGAACCTGGAAATAAACACTATGACAGGAACATGCTTTATTCCATCTTTTCTCAAACATCCACTCCAGACACCATAGAAAACAAGCAGCAGCCGTCTGGCTGTGGTGGTTCACCTTATCTGAGTTGATGATATCCTTCTTATTGATGGTGCCCGTGTTCTCAGACTCCACACCCCCCAGCTCCAGGATGTCCCGCACATCTGCACCCGTGGCCATCTCGCTGCCTGCCTGCTGCCTTTGCCCGCCACCGTCCTGTCCAGCTCCGGGGAAAGGGAGAGCAAAGAGCTGGAGTCAGTGTGCAGCTCCTGGTGGTGGCACATCCACTGAAAAACACACATGTGCATATATGTACTGAGCTGCACAGATGCAAGTACACGTATATAGATACATACACCCTCATATAGGTACACAGACATGCAAACATATAGGCACACACATTTAAACATATGTACACACATATATACACACATCTGTACATACACACAGACCTAAGTGCATGCACACACACCTACACACACGTATGGAACACAGACACACTCATATAGATACATGCACATGCAAACATACACATATACCCACACACAAACCCAAGTGCACGCACACACGCGCCTATACACACGTACCCACACACACTACACTCACACATACCCCCCCCCAAAGCCGCCTCCCGCCCCTTAGGCCCAACACCGGACCCTCGCACCCCACCACCCCCGAGACCCACGCACACCATCCCCGCGCCGGCTGAGGGCACAGCGGGCTGCCGGGGCCGCGGAGAGCCGCGGAGGTCCCACTTAGCCCCGCTTCTCGGCCCCCTCCCGCCCTCACCCGCTCCAGCTCCGCGGCCACCGGGACGGTGCGAGCAGCACACGGGCCCGGGCAGCGCCACTTCCGGTCCCGCCACGCCGCGACCGGAAGTACCCGGAGCCTTTTGTGAACGCACCGCGAGGTTGAGGGAGGGAGGAGGAGGGCGGTGGGAGGAAGTATTGTGATCGCGGGTTCGAGCCCCGCTCCCGCCAGGTGGCGTTCCCGGCTCGGATCTGCGGGCAGCGAGCAGTGCGGCGGGATCCGCGGCCGCTCGGCGAGCTCCTTCCCTGTGGAACACCCAGGAACGGGTGCTCAAAGCCAAGTATTCCTTCCCGGGCTCTTAACAGCTCCGGGGCTTGCCTGGGTACACCTTTCCTCCAGCCGTGCTGCCAAACTCGTGCTGCCAGGGCCGGTCCTACGAGGTGCTGCCAACGTGTCCCACTGTGTTTGTCCTGGGTTGTCACACCGTCCTTCCTCATTTCTAGCATCCTGAGGGACACGGTTAGCAGGCACAATGGGAGTGGGTTGGCGTTTGGACTGGATGACCTCAGTGGTCTTTTCCATCCTCAATAATTCTATGATCCTTCCTCATCCTTTGGCTGTCTTTGGCCCAGAGATGGTTTCCACTATTCCCCTGTTACAGAGAGAAACGAGGCTTTCCCAGCACTTTGTGCAGAGGAAGGCAGGCCCTGCCTCCACCCTGCTTTCCCTGAAGAACCTGGCACACAGAATCACACACAGAATGGCCAGGGTTGGAAGGGACCTCAAGGATCATGAATCTCCAACCCCCCTGCCACATGCAGGGCCACCAACCTCCCCATTTAATGCTAGACCGGGCTGCCCAGGGCCCCGTCCTATTTAGCCTTGAACACCTCCAGGGATGGACGGGGCATCCACAACCTCTCTGGGCAGCCTGTTCCAGCACCTCACCACTCTCTGTAAAGAACTTTCCCCAGACATCCAACCTAAATCTTCCCTCCCTCAACTTAAAACCATTTCCCCTCGTCCTGCAGTTATTAACCCTTTCAAAGAGTTGATTCCCCTCCTGTTTGTAGGCTCCCTTTAGGTACTGAAAGGCTGCAATGAGGTCACCCCGCAGCCTTCTTTTCTCCAGGCTGAACAAGCCCAGCTCCCTCAGCCTGTCTTCATAGGGGAGGTGCTCCAGTCCCCTGATCACCTTCATGGCCCTCCTCTGGACCCTCTCCAACAGCTCTGTCTTTCTTGTACTGGGGGCTCCAGACCTGGACACAGTATTTCAGATGGGGCCTCACAAGAGCAGGGTAGAGGGGGACAATCACCAGTGGCTGCAGTGCAGCCTCAGGGAGCTCCTCACCATGAAGAGCAAAAAGCTCTTCTGGTGGCAAAAAGCCACCAGAGAAGGAGCACCTCTCTTTTAGCACCTCGCTCACAGGTCATCCATGCTTTGTTCATGAAGCTGTACAACAGCACTTCTAGAAAACACAACAAATTTTGATCTGCCCAGAGGCAGATGGCCATTTAGTATCCTTGAGCTATGATTTTAGCACCTGCTTTTCTGAGCAGGGGATTTCTGTGGTTTCTGAGGGGCAATGCTGCATCCAGGAGCTTTCACAGCTAGCAAAGAGGCTCAGCTGGAGATGTCGGTCACCTGAGCACGCCTGGTCCCAGGGCAGGATGCTCTGCCCACAGATGGCCACGAGGCAGGGCCATGACGGCCCCATGCCAGAGGTGTGCGTGTCCCCCAGGCTGGCACCTGCGGAGGAGGACAAGTGCAAACACTGCGGCCATGGGGTGGGAGGAGGTTATCTGGGGCCCAACAGTGGAAAAACTCTCGGTGTGTGACTAAGACACGATAGCGCCAGGTGTGGGTCCAGGCATGGTGAGCGAGCTGGGGAATTATCGCTTCCCCATGGATTCAGGTGCCTGAAGCCAAATGTTTCCTAAGGGTGCGGTGACAGCCACAGCCCCGCTATCACGGCGCCTGGCCCACCCCATGGCCAAGCAGCAGGGATGTGGGGGCTGACTGCTGGATTTTCCCAGGTGCTTGGGACGGGACACAGCCCAGCACCCTACAGGGAGGGTCAGACACCAGTCCTGAGTACATCCCTCAGTGGAATCACCATGTTCACGTTCCCAGGGAGGCAAAATCCAACAGCACCTTCCTGCCTCCAAAACCCCAATCCCAGAGCACCTGAGTAGCATTCCACCCCCATCCCCATCCTAGCTCTGTCTCCTGCCATCTCCAAACCTACCACTCTCACCATGAAAGAGACCCCAGCTCCAACCCTGTCCCCCCCCAGGGCCCCAGTCCTGCTGGCAGGTGCCTGCAAAGGGCCGGCCCCGCTGCAGCCATGACTCACCTCGCTGCTGGGACCTGTTGTTCCATGCCTTGCTGCTTCCCTCCCTGCTGCCTCAGCTGCACTCCAAGTCTGTGGGTCTGCACCGTGAGAACTGGAGGGGTCCCACCTGCTTTGCTGGAGCATTTTGGGTCCCTGTATGCCTTGCCAGGACACAGCAAAGCACTTTCTGGCTGGCCTTTGGCACGGATTGTTCTCTTTCCTAGTGCTCATCTGGCATGGAGTGTTTCTCAGTGTTTCCAAGGGTGTTTTCTCACTGCCTTCACAGCTTTGCAGGGCAAGCTTACCCAGGCAGGGACCAGGCACCCTTCTCCAGCAATCAGCACACCTTGGCGCAGGCCATGGGGAGAGGCTGAGTCTCATTAACAACAAATTAGGGGCAATTGCCATTTTCACTACAGCTACTTCTGACCCTGGTGAGGATCCTGGCCATGCCTGGGGTAGTTCTGCCTGGGATGGAATCCTCTGCCCTCAGCTCAATGCCAAGCAGCACACACAGAGCTAGGCCCTGCTCCCGCCCTGATGATGAAAGGTGAAGAAGAACAGGTTTGTGCTCTGATCTCACAGCCCAGCCTCAAAACAGCCGCGGACCGTCACCGCGGCTCCCAAGATGCTCGGGGAGAGGACAGCAGAGCCAGCCTTTCCAGTGAGACGGGATGGTTGGAGAAATTCATCGTTCCCCTGGAAATAAAAATAATAATCATAATAAAAACACAAAGCCAGAGATTACTTATACGCACACAAACACAGAGGCACGCACTCTCTCCCCATCTGGCTTTGCCAGCCTGACTCATCGCTAATTCAAACAGCCCACACCTTTCCCTCTCCCTCCATGTGACATTTCGAACGAGTGAAGGGGAAGAGGCAGCAGTCCCAGAACTTTGCTGGAGCCATCCTGCTGGTGTCAGACCCCTGGCTTTTGGTACAGGGTCCCAGAATTGAAGCACCCCAGGAGCCCGTCACAGCTCCCCTATGTCCCAGTGCAGTCACCCCACAAACACACCCCTCCGAAACTGGGGCAAGCCAAGTGCGGAGGCAGCTGCAGAAAGGACAAGTGACAACTCAATGGGTTAGTAACACCTGCTGATGGAGTCCCATGTGCACAGGCAGGATGCGAAGTCCCAGGCTGGCTGCCACCCTCCTGCCCAGGGCAGACCCAAGGGCTGCAAGCTGGATACTGGCCCCAGGACAGCCATTCCCTGCTCTACCATTCCCAACTTTCCTCCAGCTGAGCTCATCACAGCAGGAAATGGGAAGGAGCAGGCTCAGCCCAATCCCTCTCACAGCAGAACTCCATCCAATTTCCAGCTGCAGGACATCAGAAGTCACCACTACATGCAGGGCAATACCGGGGGCCGGGCACCACGTGCTCCCAGCGCAGCATCAGGCCTGGACAAGCCCCAGCTTTTGGAGGGCTGCATGCATGACGGGTAATCAGCCGTGGGAGGGAGGGATGGAGCCAGACCTGCTCGCTGAGCTTGGGACCTGCCAGCATGCTGCTGCTGAGTCACCCCATTAATGCAGGGAAACCTCAGCACCTGAACCCAACGCACATGGGGACAGGCGGCCACACGCAGCTCCTGGGGTGAGGACACAGCCAGTGCCACGCTCCTGCTGCAGGGGACAGCGGGACGGAGCACTCAGGGAAGGCAATAGGGCTGACAAAGCTGCCAGGAGGGTTTCTGCTGCCGTTCCCCTCAGCTGTGACTCACCGTAGGACCGGTCACACCATCCCTGAGCCACAATTGCCCCATCTGCAGATTAGGGAAACTGAGGCACGGGGAAGTGGGGTGACTCAAGAGCTGTTGCACAGGAGATGCCGCTCGGATGCCGAGGGTTGGGCGTTCCCCATCGATCCTCCGCAGCTAACTTAAGCAGAAATGAACATCGATGTAAATATTTACTGACAAGCAGCCCAGCCTCACCCACTCCTCTCAGAAGACAGCTTTAAAGTAAACTCTCCTGGCTCTTTCATGTTTACATCTTGTTTATTTATTATACAGCAGATCACAATATTTCAACAGTTTGCATATAAAGAAAAGTAACATTTCAGAGTGCGAGAGACCTAACGTGCCCAAGCAGAGAAATGTTAATTAACAATATACACAGACAGGAACAGTGCACTTCCCAAAGCTGAGACTCATCTGTGTTCCCAGCTGGAAGAAAAAAATATATTAAAAAACAGAAACATTATATATTACTGCTTTGTTTAATTTACATCTTGCTTTGCAGAAGCTGCACATAAAAAGATTCATTTTCTTTTTGAGTTTTCTCTTTTTCCCTCTAAGAAAGTTTCAAGTATAGCAGAGACCTGGGCGTTCAGAGCTGGACTCACTGTCCTTTACATACTAAGTTTTTAAAAAGCAGCATGGGGAAGGCAGCCGCAGCAGTACCTGGTGTCATCCTGAGGGGAAGAACAGAAACTAAAGCAGACCATTGGTGAGAACCATTTGGGCTCCCAAGCGGAGAACTGTGGGCATAGGATCGGACCACCCAGGGGGTCCCAGGCTGGTTCTGAGGACACCCAGCTCCCTGTGTGATGCAACACTGCACTGCCGACCCCCGCAAACCTTTATACCCGTGATCAAGTCCCACTCCAACCCCATACTCCCCGGGATTCTGGGCCAGGACGTTTGTTCTGACAGCCGCAACTAAGAAGAGCAGAACCAGAGTTGTGGGACATGGATCTCCAGCAGGAGCTTGGCCAGAATCAGCCACCACCATCCCCAGAGCTGCAGGGTGCCAGATCAGGGAGAAGGTTTTGAAGCCAATGCCAAATACAAGCGAGGAGCTCTGGGGACAGATCCCTGCTGCACCAGCCCTCCAGCAACAGGAGCAGGCTGAGGGACTTCGCATAGCCCTGCTCCTCACCTTCACCCCAGCACGCAGCCGAGTCCTGCTCTCACAGCAGAGGCAGGAGGAGAAAATAGTTATCCGCTACAAGCAAGAAGGGCCGGGCTGCTCCCCAACGCTATTTACAGCAGGAGCTGCTCTGGGGAGTCGCTCGGCAGAGGGGATGCCAAGCACTCCTGCAGCCCCCGCTCACATGTGCCGCTTCATGTGCAGGGCCAGGTGGTCAGAGCGGGAGAAGGCCCGCTCGCAGAGGTGGCACTGGAAGGGCCGGTGCCCGGTGTGCTTGCGGTAGTGGCGGGTCAGCTCATCGGAGCGGGCGAACTTCCAGCCGCAGCCTTCCCAGGTGCAGTGGTACGGCTTCTCACCTGTGGGGAGAGGGGCAGTCAGTGGGCACAGCGATCCATGTGCCTTCACCCCTCCCCCCCCCCCTTCCCAGCCCTCCTGGGTCCCTGCCCACTACTCCTATGCTCCTTCATAGAGAAGAGATTGACTGCGTGCCACTGCCTGACCCACCTTTCTCTCACCCTGATCTTCCGTCCTTCCCGCACATTGCCTCCCCGCTTGC